TCTTCCTGTAAAGAAAGACAATTAAAAAAGAAAATCAAAAAGCATTTGCTGTTTCCGTCAGGGTTTAGCATCTATGTAAGTATTCACACACACACACAAAAAAAAAAACTTCTATAGTTTATGATTAGGTGTGATTTGTTCAATCTTTTCTGTTTCATTAATAAAAGATGCTCTTTGAAGCTCCCTGAATGGATTTCACAATCATTTTAGGAAGCTGAGTTGAGTAAGGAAGGTGAAGCCTGTTCTAAGATGGAGTTATAGATTTTGTGGGCCCATTAAACTCTTCAGGAAAGCAAAGCTGCAAAAAATCACTGTTGGTTATGGTAACAACTCCACTAAATCCTTTAATAAGATACATCTGTGTGTCCGTTTCAAGACTCCCCCCCCCAGCCCTGCACTCCATTCCTCTGGATCAATCTCAAGCCAGAGAGACCCCATCTGGCAGTTCTGCCCTTCCTTCAGCCACTAGTACAGGTGCTAGTCATAAGTTGGTTTTCAGGGTGAAATCTTCATATTCCCGTGGAGACATTCTTACTTGCCCTTTCAGCAGTATGGGAGCTTATCATAATCAGCTCCAGCACTGTGTTGAGCCAAAGATGAACTATTTGTCCTTGGGGTCACTCAGAGAGTAGATGGTGAGGCTATGAGCGAGACCTGCCTGGTGGTCTGTCTAATGTTTGTCCTTAGGCAGCCATACCAGGAGTCCTTGATGCCCAAGATAGAATGTAATGTCTCAGACAGTGAGTCTAGGAATGTGTTTAGTCCCCAGTAATGAGAAACAATGTAAGAACAAAGATCTTGGGGGAAGGTTGTCATAACTGGAGCATCAGACAAGGCATACGAACAGAGTCATTGTATCTGAAAAAGAATGACTGATGGTGAGAAGGCAATAAGCTAGGATGGAGTAGTGAGTAGGAGTCAAAATTCTGACTGTGTCACAGACCACGTTAGAGTGCTTGTGTATCACTGGAATCTCTTAGGCAGCAGTGATTTCAGTTGCTTTGTTATCTGTTTGGTTTTGTTATCAGTTCTGTTGCGGTGATAGGAATGGGTGGGAAAGGAAGCAATGGCTGGCCAAGACAAGCGATACCCAAGGCGGGCATTAAGGAAATCTACTTGATTCAGCCAGTTGAGACTTCTAAATTCCTTTCCTCTGAGCACTGCTTTCAATGTATCCCATAAGTTTGGATATGTTGTGCCTTCAGTTTCACTTAATTCTAGGAAGTCTTTAATTTCTTTCTTTCTTTCTTCCCTGCCCCAGCTGTCATTGAAT